ATCTAATATAATATTTTCCTAACTTACTCTGACTTTTACTACCTGAAATTTAAACTAACTTACCTTATTTATTTTTATTTCATTTATACATTTGATTATTTTTTTCTATGACTTGGACGTCGTATGTTGGAAATTTACTTCGGGTGTCAAGTCGAATATTTGATCAAATTTCACTTCTTATGTTGGAAAATTCGTATGTTTAGGCCTCGTTAGTAGAGGTTCTGCTGTATTCTGCTCACCCATCAGCTGCTTTGTTTTTTTACCAGGTTCAGAATCAAAACCCTGGAAAGTATTTGATATGTTACAGTATTTGCTGCCCAACAGACAGAAGCATGACTGTTTCCCTCCAGAACTGAGAGAAACAACAGGCCTCAGGAGGGCCTGAATGCAACATAAAGATCCACTTAATCAACCCCTTTCTGTGCCACTTAGGGTCACTGTGGGGGGGATAATAGTGACTCATGGAAAAACCTCAGTCAGCCTGAAATCTGTAGGAGTCACAGCTTCTATCCTTCGTTTTGGGTTCAAAAGCCGGGGGCCCAAGTGGTCATAATGTTGTGGCTGATGAAAGAGGTGATTTTGACTCCTGAAGGCCAGATTTTTAAATGGATTTTTGCCTAGAATCCTGACACCTTTTTCAGCCTCCGTCTGGTCTCCCTGGGCGGGGCCGTCCGGCCATCCGGCCTCCGGGGGGGCGGCCGGGGGGGCGTCCTTCACCCCCTCAGGCTGCTTCACCTCGTAGCCGTCGGCCCTTCCGCAGCTCGCCCTGAAAAACACAACAGAGTTTTCCCAGAAAGAAAAGGCCGTCGGTGGCCATTTTTTTTTATTTCTTGTAAATTTATAGGGAAATAATAACCAAAAATTTATTATAACTTTGATGCAAAAAGGTGGTCGAAAAGTAATATAAAAGTGTGGTGTGGTCAAAAAATCATTGTCCCCAAACCTCCACCCATCACACCTGACATTCACTAACAAAACCACAACCCCCGGTCTGTCCTTACTCCCCCAAATTAATGGGAGGAGCTTAAAGAATTACCAAATAAATCATAAGAATTCCAAACAATTAATTTCAATATAGGGTGGTTCTGGGTTGGAGTCCCCGGGGGAACCAGGACCAGAGGGTTGTGGGTTGGAGTCCCGGGGGAACCAGGACCAGAGGGTTCTGGGTTGGAGTCCCGGGGGAACCAGGACCTTTCTGGGTGGAGTCTGCATGTTCTCCTGTGTCTGTGGGTTCTCTCCGGGTTCTCCGGCTTCCTCCCACCCTCCAAAAACCTGCATGTTAGGTTGGTTGGACTCCAAACGGCCCTTAGTGTGAGTGTGTGTGGTTGTTGGTCCTTGTGTGTCTCTGTGTGTCCCTGTGATGGACTGGGGACCGTGCAGGGTGACCCCGCCTCTCCCCATTGGCTACTGGGATAGGCTCCAGTCCCACCAGACCCCGTTAGGGAATAAGGGGTTATGATAATGGATGGATGGATGGATAATTTCAATATGGTTCTTTACAAACTGAAATATAGTTTAACTGCTTAAAATTAAACAGCCGCCCACCCGTAGCTGTAGCCCTCGGGCAGGGGGTGGGGGATGTGGCCCCGGGGCAGGAGCAGGAAGGTCCTGGCCAGGAGGAGCAGGCTGCAGAGCGACAGCACCAGGAAGGAGGAGCGGAGGGGGACGCCCTGCTCATGGAGGACCTGGGAGGTAGGCAGGAGAACCCCAGATATAACTCAAACAACAGCAGAACGTTATGAGAAAACTTGAAATCAACAGTAGAAACTAGAAATTGCTGCAGCTGCTCGGTCTGAAGATGAGTTTGGAAGAGTTGGAGCTCATTTAATTACGCGTTTTGTTCTTGTTTCTACTTTGATTAGAGGAGATTTAACACCATACAGTAGAATGGCCAAATATGATCAATCAAACCCTGTTTTTTACTGTTTATTTTCACTTAATTTGTCAAGTTTTTTTTAAATTCTGTCTAATTGTTATATGGTCAATCTCACTTCCAGTTAGAAAAAGTTGAGATTTTAGCTGAAAACGTTAGCTATAGCATCTATATTTAAGAATAGGATTTTTGAAAAAGGCTTCTTAAGGCAGCGGTCAGCAGTGAGTGTGATTTAATGGACAGAAATGAGGCCAACAGATTCACCTTGATGACGAAGAACACGGCTGAGGAGGAGTCGAAGGCTCCGTTGTAGAGGGTGATGATGGTGGAGCGATGGGCGGCGAACAGGTTTCCCACCTTCGGCACAACAGAGAAGGACTAAACATGGTGGCCCCCCCCCCCCACGCCACGACCACACCTGTGTGCGGGCGGCTCGGCGGCACCACCTGCATGTTGGTTATGAGGAGCAGAATTCCTCCCACGGCTAAGCAGGACAGGGCCGGGAAGAGCACCTGTGGGAACGCTGCGGGACAGAGGAGGAGAAACCTTCAACGGCTCCAGGTACAGAAACACAAACGTCAAACCCTGATCAAAACAGACACAAAATCCCAAAATATGAGCTCAACAGCAGGTCCTTTATGTCTCCTGAGGTCTGTGAGGGGTCTTCCTCTGCAGGAAGATGGACTCCGGGTAGTTTGAAATCACCTTTGACCCTTCAGGTGGCTTCTCCCGGGTCTTTCTGATGTCTTTCCTCCAGAGGACTGTGTGTGTGTGCCTGTGACTGTGTGAGCGGGGTGTGTGCACGTGTGCGCACTGACCTGCACTGGAGAAGGCAACGAGGAGGGTCCCGGTCGTGTACAACGATCTGGGGGAAGACAGAGATCTTAAACGGCAGGTCCAGCCTCGGCTAAAGCCGGCGTACACTGTGAGAAGTTTCCAATTTTAGCACCAAATCGTAGGGGTCAAAGGTCACAGCTCACGATTTCTGTTCTCACTATACAACCCCATATGAGATCTGACCTCACATCGTACGTCCAAAAACGCACGTCTGACTAGAAATAGAAGAAGTGGAACAACTCGGAGGGAACATGCGGGTCACCAGAGCGCAAAGCTGCCGATTGTGTGTTCCGAAAGCTTAAAAACGAACAGAAGACGGCGTGTTTTGACCATTTGGAGGAAACGGCTGAACAGACGTGGCCGATACGGCCGGTCAGCTTTACAGCCTGAACCAGAGGGAGGCAACAAACACTCTCACAGAACTTCCTGATCCCTCTGATACTCAGGGCCAGAGATGGAGGGGAGTCGGGTCCTAACGTGGCTTCAATAACAGGATTCCCTCACCAGGGCCGATCAGAAACTCAGACCGGTTTGGTTTTCTTCCAACCAGACGGTGTGGATCTGGAGGTGGAGACACCAGGAGCTGAAACTCCTAATCCAACAGATTCTACCACCAGGGGAAAATCGTATCCCAAATCCCACAGTGTACGCCGGCTAAATTGTTTTGTGAATCCTGAGAGACGCAATGCGATAGTAGCATTAGCTGTTTATTCACAATACACAAGATAAGAACTAGATCTGTGTGAGGGAAAAAGGCATTTCCTGATAATAGGCTCATGTCATCTTAGATGCTTCTTTTGGCTCTTTTTGTGGGTAATATTCAGAGGGGAGCTCCAGTGAAGTGTCTCTGGACCATCACCCAAACGGTCAGTGTGTGAATGTAATCTCTCTGTGAGACCCTCCCCACTTTTATTGATCTAATCCTGAATGACCCCCCCCCCCCCCAACAGTACACCATACTACGGACCTGCTACATACAGCAGAACCTCTGCCTACGATCAACTAAACACCAATTTTCCAACTTCCGAAGTGAAATTTGATCAAATATTCGACTCGATGCTCGAAGTATGACATCGAAGTCATAGAAAAATTAATTTATATAAAAAATGTAATAAAAATATTGAATAAATAGTAAAAATAAATACAAATATTTTACAAGTAATAAAAATAAATAAGCTAAGTTAGGATACGTCCTGTATCTACCTCCGTTCACCAATAAGTGCCAATAAAAACCCTTTCTATTGATTATTTCTTTATAATTTATTTCTTTTTACATCTCTCTTATATAAGTCATTTGTTTTATTGCCATGTGTAATTATCTGCAGTATTTATTAAGGAGTTATCGTAGGTTTTTGGAACCAATTCTAAGAATTACACTGTATTCTGATGGGAATATTTGAACCAACATACGAATATTTTAACATAGAAGTCGGTCCTGGAACCAGTTAAACTCGTATTTAGAGGTTCTGCTGTATTTCCAACCAAACTGACTCTCATCTTCTTCACTCAAAGTCAGAGTCAGAACCCTTAAACTGATCGTAAACAGCATGTGACCGACAGGTTCACCACTTAAACCTTTAGGGCCTCCGGGGCTGCCTGCTTTTTCCAGAGAAAGACACAAACCCGGCATGGACTCACATCCCCAGCAGCCTGGTCACCATGGTGCCGAAGCGGTCGAACAGGTAGCCGTTGACCAGACTCAGGAAGTTGTTGAGGAAGGAGGCGATGGTGAAGACCATGGAAAACTGCTCGTCCTGACTGCTGCAGGCTACGAGACAAATGTGAAGTTTAACATCTTACAAATGCAGATTTATTTGACTTATTTAACTCTTTTAAATTAGTTCACCAGCGTTTACCCTCCCTTTTCTAGTCCGTTTATCATTAATAAACATCCAGAGAAACATGTTTTTTCCCTTCTGTATGCTTAAAAAAACAACTTTTTCTCTGAAATGTGCTACATTTTGTCTGGATTTACTCAACATTCCTGTTACCTTACTGATGGTTTCCTTTGTCCACAGAGCTCTTTGGACCAGGTTTTGTTATCAAAACCCTTAATAAATCAACAAATACATGGAAATTGGTAGTTTTATATGTGTAAACTGCTCTAATATTGCCTTTAGTTGTACTTTTCGTGCCACATGAATCAAAATCAATTGAATCTATTGTTGTTTTGGTGCTTTTTGTGCAGATTTCTGGCTGTTTAAAAGAGTTCAAAATGTGCACAGCGTTTTCCAGCTACGGCCCAGAGACGCTCACCGGTCAGCGGCAGGGCGCTGCTGCTGTTGGAGGGGCTGCCACACAGCTCGCCGAAGTACCCCTCCTCCTTCAGCACAAACACCAGGGAGGCGAAGCCGAACACCACCCCTGCGAAGCCCAGACACTCCAGCATCCCGGAGAGCAGCGTCAGCCAGTGGCGCGGCCTGGCCCCGGCCCCGCAGCCCCGCATGGCCCGCTCCGTCCCGCTCACGTCCCGGCAGAAAAAGCTCCAGCCGTCCCTTCTCCCCACCGGACACTCGGCCTGCTTTCGATCTGGCAGTCAGCTCTTTATTTCTGAGGAAAGAGCAGGGAAACGTGCAGCCGCTCCAGCTTCAGCTCAGACTAAACGGGCTGTTCAGTGGTCAACCGGGGCTGTCTGCCTCTGGGTCCATTATCATCAGGGTGACAGATGTGAGATGTGAGATAAATCCCAGAGCAGCTGCAATAATGAGATAATGACACATCTGCCACAACACTGGGATTACACCGGGATTGGTGGTCTGGACTCTTAGTAGTAAGAAATACATTAGAATATGTTTAACTCACCCACTTTTACTCATTTAGGCAGTTTGTTTAAATATAATAAACATAAAAAGATATCAAATAAATGCTTATTTATCAGCTCCATTTGCTCAAAGTTCCATTCAAACTCTGTTCAATCATCAAAATGTATCTCATGTCGACAAAAGGCAAAAGAAAAAACTTCTAAAAGCTCCAAATTTGAACACTAATAATGGCACTTTTACCTCAGAGACGCACTTTTCTGCCATTTTCCACGCGTTTGTCGTGTAAATAAGTGTTTTCCCCATGTTTTTCCATGTTTCTCAGCCCGTTAAAGCGACGGCCGGACAGCAGACACGACAGACAGCGGCAGTTAGGAGGCCTAATCCAGATTATCTGACAGATTATCGACACAATTCCGGCTCCAAGGTCCCTCCGACCAGGCAACGTGACTTTAAAGTGTTTCACCAACATTTTCCAGATGAACCCAAGGAATACTATCATTACACCCTCAATATAATCAGGGGAGGATCAATTCAGCTAAATAATGCATCTAAGTGCAATGACTATAGAAAAAACCATTCTGAAATATTGATTATATACTCCCAGGTGAACCGAACACGATCGTTTTAGGTCTTTTAAACACACACGTCTCCCAAAATAAATATAAAATAACACCTCCAGCTGCCAATATTAGCTATAAATGAAGCCAACTGCCGGCTAACATGTTAGCTGCAATCCTCTTCTGTTTGGAGATGCTAACAGTTAGTTTAACTGCCCAAACGGATGAAAATGTAAAGACTTCTAGCTTTACCCAAATCATTATGGTCAAATTTAATTAAATATAATGTTTTCAGACATTTTGTGAGGGATTTAAATCTTATTTTAAAGTATAAATGACCTAAATCAGTTTATAATGTAGCTAACGTTAGCCGCTAGCTTGCTTAGCCCAACGGCTACATCTGACGTCACACAACGCAAACTGCGTCCTGAAATTAATTAAAAGTTTAGTTTTTACCGCTGAGAAATAGATTAATTGTGTTATTTAATTTTCACAGGTACTGACATGGTTCATTATCTCCCGTTTCTACGTTTTCAAGCTAATAAAACCGAGTTAATAGTAAACCGTTTTTGGTCAAAATCAACAATGACAGCTGAGATACAATAGAGTATTTTAAAGCTCATTTAAAATTTATGGCAGTTAAAAGTATAAGAATAACGCAATTCTGCAAATAAAGCATGTACAACACGTCACCTGGAAAGAGCCAATGAACATCCTGGACTTGCATCCACTTAATTCAGGTATTCAATAATGACATTGAGCACACAAAAATAACAAAGAGCTCACAGAAAGACGAGTAACGCGGTTTTATCCCTGTGAGTAAAAGTACAACTTGGGGGTTAGCAACCTTAAAAACTATTAAAACTTACCTTAAAGCTTGAAAATCCGATCTGCTTCCTTAATCTCAGTTATATCTGGATTATAAAAAGACACCTGTACAAAAATTATTCTTCATCGGTTTAACCAACTTAAATTAGTTTGATGTGAATGGAGGTAATTATCTAAAAGTTAATCAGACTTTGATTGACATGAATGATGGTGCTTTTAAAGAGATAATGAACTACGCTTATTGATGCTTCAGAAATAAAACATTATTGATTGACACACTTTTCTCAGCTTCTTGATGGATTGATACATTCTTGGTTAAGCCAAACGGGATCATTCATATATTATTATTATTATTTATACTCCGATCAGCCATCAGACTTCAACCCTCCACAGTTTACTGTCCTCCTCCTGCCCAACACACACCTGGACAGACCTGAGGTCAGACGCCGGGGCCTTTTTTGGACTCTCTGGTGGTCACATGACAAAGGTGTGGGACTCCGTTCGGCCCCCTGCTGAGATGTGGGTGGCTGAATGAACAGTGAACACATCATGAACAGATCTTAACGATGTTTTTAATGGTGGGTTGAAGGTTACAAAGCAAGAGCAGACCTCACGACTCAGTCATTCACAGATAAAATCCCTGATAAAACAAGAGTTTTATGGCTTGTAACGGCATGCTTGGTGAGCATCGACGATCCGAAAGGAACCCATTCCTTTACTGGTTTGAGACCATTTCCAGATGGAGGATGTGGTAAAAAGAGGACGAGTTCCTCACTGATGCAAACCGCGAGTAAAGTACAAGAAACTATATTCTGATGCAGCCAAATGGAACAAAACACTACAAGTGAACAAACTCATTCTTTAGAAATATAAATAGTCAGCATTTTGTCGTGTTCCCAGACTGGAGTGGTGAGTTGTTCCTGTGAACATGCAGGTCCAGTGTGCGTCAAGGCTTTTTTATTCTAAGAAACATTCCTCGTGAAGCTGCCGCCGCGCAACAGCTCGTCCACTAAAATACGCTCTAAGCAAATCAGTGTGGAACGGTGTTTATCACTGGACCGGCTTTATGTCCTCCTGCCCGACGCGGAGGGTCAGTCAAAGGCTGCTGAAGCTCGAACGGTCCAGACGTAATACTGCATACGGTAATCATGCTCTGTTTGGGCAATCTGTGACCAAATTTCGTTCACTGGATTACTACTATTTGTGGTCATCTGCAGTAATAAAGCACTTAGTGTAGGAGACAGGTTCGTAGAAATCTGTGTCTCAGAGCTCAAACGGAGGTGTGCAGGTTTCAGTTATCTTGAAACAAAGTCTGAAACTCATGAAAAGCTGTCATAAAACTATGGAACATTCTATAAATACTTATTATTATTATTATTATTATCAACCTTCTTTTACGGTCTGGAGACTCTCGGCCTCCATGCATATGTCCGCACCACATAGAAAAATAAATAAATCATGAAAAGGAAAAACAGGGTTGACGGTACCATCATGCACGAGAGGGTTCGGCCTGGAACTGCGGGGGGGGGGGGGGGGACAGAAGGTGCAGCTTTTTGAGAGAGAAAAGCTGTTTGTTGCATCGCATTTCCTGGAAATGTGCGTGCAGACCTGCCCCGACCCTGAATGGAGCTCGTCCACGGACCCCGACGCTGGGGTTATAAAACGCCTTCAGGCTGGACTCGGATCCTTTCTCCCGCTAGTTTTTTTGGTTTTGTAAACAGCAACATTCAAATAGTCCCCACGGCCGATGTCCCCACCGTCTTCTCCAGAGAAGATCAGCAGATACTGGGACTGGGAATCCCGGAAGCATCACACATTTACTCTGTGACCGTGTCTTTGGCTAAAAAACGCTCCTCTTGTGTGTCTCTGATCAGCCGGCCACGGCAGCTCGGCAAATAAATAAATAAATAAGCCAAAGGAATGAATAAAACCAACAGATACATTCAAGTACTTCAGTTCCCAGGACTCTGTGCTTCTTTTGTGTCTGTGGGGTTCTTGTAGCTCCGCCCCCCGGTGAATAGCCTCTGGCTGCAGTCTGTAGGAGCCTCGGCTGGATATCCAACTCCTCCCACATCCAAGTCGGCCATTTTGATTAGGTCATGTGACTAGCAGCTTTCTGAGGTGGAAACGAAACTTTACTGTCAATACGAAATCAAAAGACAAACGATGTCCTGACCCTAACCCTAACCCTGACCCTAACCCTGACCCTAACCCTAACACTAACCCTGACCCTGACCCTAAACCTAACCCTAACCCTGACCCTAAACCCAACCTTAATCCTGACCCTAACCCTAACCCTCCACCCTTCATAATTGTGAGTAATAAATATTTTTTGGTTAAACTTGTTTGGAGTTTTTGTACAAACCTATTTAACATCCACTATTTTAACATATTATTATGTATAGAGTTTAATTCAGTGTTTGCCAGATTAATTTAACTATTTCTAAATTAATACTTATAATGCCATGAGTCAATTACCATTTTCTTGCCTGGGATCTTCCTGTTGGTGACCTAATCAAAATGTCCGACCTGGATGTGTGTGGCGTTGTGGCATCCCTCCTTAGCTTCCTCCTGCCGTCGGTCACAGGGCGGTGAGGGTGCGGAACAGCTGCGTGAGGCAGAAGACGGAGGCGGTGAGCGCCGTGCACTGCTTGGCCAGCAGCTTGCGGCTGAGGTCCCGGCAGCCGCGGCGGCCGCTGGCGCGCTCCGCCGCCAGGCAGAAGTCCCGGAAGGCCCGCGCCACGTCGGCCAGGCCGGCCGCCGCCTCGCCGTTGCGGCGGTCGCAGCGCTGGCAGCCGGAGAGGCGCAGGCAGACGCCGGCCAGCTCCACCAGCGTGCGGAAGCTGCCGGCCAGCGCCCGCAGCATGTCGGGGGGGCTCTGGCCGCCGGCCGCCGCCCGCTGGCAGCCCGCCGTCAGCCGCCGCGCCTCCAGCTGCAGCAGCCGCTTGCTCTCCGTGAAGTGGCGGGGGCAGGCGTCCCGCGGGTGGCGCCCGCCGCGGCGGTCGGCCGGCCCGCCCTCCAGGGCCCCCAGCAGCTTGTCCACGTCCAGGCGGAGCAGCTGGAAGCCCCCGGGGGGGTCGGGGTACTCCCCCCGGCCCAGTTGGCCCAGGGGGTCCGGGTCCGGGTCGGTGGACAAGGGCGAGAGCAGGGGGCTGAGCTCCGAGGAGAAGAGGATGGAGCGCGGGAAGGAGGGGGAGTGGGCGGAGGGGGGGGGGGGGAAGGAGGAGGCGGCGGGGGGGGAGGTGATGAGGGGGAGGCCCCCGGCGGAGATCTGGGCGCGGCAGGAGAACTCGTAGACGGTCAGCTCCTCGTCGAAGGCGTCCTCCTCCCCCCCGAAGCAGTTGGTGTAGGCGGGCGGGCAGCCGCAGGCCTCCAGGGGGGGCTGCACCCCCTCCGCCAGGGACTCGCACCCGGACGCCAGCGCCGGGCCGCAGCCAAAGCCGGGCTTCAGCGGCGGGGCGGGCCCCCCCCCCCGGGCCGGAGCCTCGCAGACGGTGGACACCCTGCAGCCGGCGGAGAGCCCCCCCGGTGAGTCGGGCTGCTGCCCCCAGGGCCTACACAGCCCCACTAGGGGCCTCTCACTACTGGCCTTTGCTACTCTGTGAGACTGACCGTGGAAGGGGAAGCCCGGCCCGTTCAGGCTCTGCGTCGTCACCACCACCGCGGGAGGGGCCGGACCTGGGGGAGGGCTCGTTTTAGTTGGAGAACCCAGAGGGGAGCTGGTTTTGGTGGGAAAACCTAGAGGAGGGTTTGTTTTGGTAGTAGAACCTAGAGGAGGGTTTGTTTTAGTAGGAGAACCCAGAGGGGAGCTCGTTTTGGTAGGAAAACCTAGAGGAGGTCTCGTCTTAGAAGGAGAACCTAATGAGGAGCTTGTTTTGGTGGGAAAACCTAGAGGGGGGCTCGTTTTAGTAGGAGAACCAAAAGGGGGGTTTGTTTTTGTAGCAGAACCTAGAGGAGGGTTCGTTTTGGTAGAAGAACCTAGAGGAGTGTTCGTCTTAGTAGGAGAACCTAGAGGAGGGTTTGTTTTGGTAGGAGAACCTAAAGGAGGGTTAGTTTTAGTAGCAGGACCTAGAGGAGGGCTTGTTTTGGTAGCAGAACCTAGAGGAGGGCTAGTTTTTCCGGGAAAACCTAGAGGAGGGCTCGTCTTAGTAGGAGAACCTAAAGAGGAGCTCGTTGTGGTAGGAGGGCATAGAGGGAAGCTTGTTTTGGTGGGAAAACCTAGAGGAGGGCTTGTTTTGGTAGGAAAACCTAGAGGAGGGCTCTCCTTAGAATGAGAACCTAATGAGGAGCTTGTTTTGGTAGGAGAACCTAGAGGGGAGCTGGTTTTGGTGGGAAAACCTAGAGGAGGGCTCGTCTTAGTAGGAGAACCTAAAGAGGAGCTTGTTGTGGTAGGAGAGCATAGAGGAGGGTTTGTTTTGTTAGAAGAACCTAGAGGAGGGTTCGTTTTGGTAGGAAAACCTAGAAGAGGGTTCGTTTTGGTAGGAAAACCTAGAGGAGGGTTCGTTCTGGTAGAAGAATCTAGAGGAGGACTTGTTTTGGTAGGAGAACCCAGAGGGGAGCTTGTTTGGGTAGGAAAACCTAGAGGAGGGCTCGTCTTAGTAGGAGAACCTAAAGAGGAGCTCGTTTTGGTAGGAGGACATAGAGGAGGGCTTGTTTTGGTAGAACAACGTAAAGGAGGGCTCGTTGTGGTAGGAAAACCTAGAGGAGGGTTTGTTTTGGTAGGAGAAGTTAGAGGGGGGCTAGTTTTAGTAGGAGAACCTAGAGGGGAGCTCGTTTTGGTAGGATAACCTAGAGGAGGGCTAGTCTTAGTAGGAGAACCTAGAGGAGGGTTTGTTTTGGTAGAAGAACCTAAAGGAGGGCTAGTTTTGGTAGGAGAACCTAGAGGAGGGTTTGTTTTTGTAGGAAAACCTAGAGGAGGGCTCGTTTTGGTAGAATAACCTAGAGGGGAGCTCGTTTTGGTAGGAAAACCTAGAGGAGGGCTAGTCTTAGTAGGAGAACCTAGAGGGGGGTTTGTTTTGGTAGGAGAACCTAATGAGGAGGTTGTTTTGGTAGGAGAACCTAGAGGAGGGCTGGTTTTGGTAGCAGAACCTAGAGGAGCGCTAGTTTTGGTAGCAGAACCTAGAGGAGGGCTAGTTTTGGTAGCAGTTCCTAGAGGAGGGCTCGGTTTGGTAGCTGGACCTAGAGGAGGGCTAGTTTTGGTAGCAGTTCCTAGAGGAGTGCTCGGTTTGGTAGCTGGACCTAGAGGAGGGTTCGTTTTGGTAGCAGTTCCTAGAGGAGGGCTCGGTTTGGTAGCTGGGACTTCCTCTGGGGCTCTGGTTTTTATGCTTGGGTCTTTTATGGGTCCAGGGAAGAAGTCTCTTTGGAGGAGGCTCACTATGGAGGCCGGGGGCTCCGTTACAGGCCCCGGCGTGCTCTGGTTCAGCCCGGCGTGCAGAGGCTGGACCAGAGGCTGACCCAGGTTCTGACCCAAAGGCTGGACCTGATTCTGACTCAGAGGCTGAACCTGATTCTGACCCAGAGGCTGACCCAGAGGCTGAACCAGAGGCTGACCCAGATGCTGAACCTGATTCTGAACTAGAGGCTGAACCAGATTCTGACCCAGAGGCTGAACGTGATTCTGAACCAGATTCTGACCCAGAGGCTGTTCTAGGGGCTGTTCTAGGGGCTGTTCTAGAGGCTGATCTACAGGCTGACCCTGGTCCTGGCGTTTGGGCTCAGTCTGGACCGGCTCCTGACCGCTGGCTTCTTTAACCTCGGCTGGAAAACTCTTGGCTGAGGCCGTCTCCACAAAGAACTCCCCGTCCACCTCGGATCCGGTCAGCGTGGCGTCCGAATCGTCCGACTCGGCAGAGTCCCCCTCCGCGCCGGCGTCCAGGTCCAGCGTCTGCGTGACGTCGTGGACGTCCGTTACGCTGATAGTGACCTCTGGGAGCCCCCTCTGGCCGCCCTCCGCCGGGCTCTGGGCGGGGCTCTGGGCGGGGCTCCCGTCCCCGGCCCGGTTCAGGCCGTCCTGTGAGCGCGACAGATACAGGGGCAGACTCTGGATCTTCCCCCTGAGCGTGGAGGCGGACAGCCGGCCCATGAAGGCGGGCGAGCAGGTCTGGAACAGGAAGTGGGCGGCGGCCGCCGGCTCCCTGGAGGCGTCGTGGAAGTGGGGGGTGTGAGCCTTCCTCAGGCTCTGGACCGGATCCGGGGGGGCGCTCTGGGGCGGGGCCTCGGTTTTCAGCCCGGAGGTAAAGGTCGGGGACGTGATGCTGGTGGCGGCGCCCAGCTTGGCCGTGATGGCGTTGATGGCCAGAGTGTAGTGGGTGCTGACCGGACTTCCTGCCGGAGCCTCGGAGTCCGGGGGAGACTCCGGACGCTTTGCAGATGTGACCCCGTCCTCCGTCTGATCGCCCCAGCCATCGTTTGAGGAGCAGCTGGATTCAGCGTCTTCGTCCTCCTCGTCCTCGAAGACGTCGTCAGAGTTGGTGCTGTCCGTTACCGTGGATTCGGGGGCCTCCTCGTCCTTCATGCTGGGGGCCGCTGCTGGGTGGGGTTGGGCGTCGGGGGCCTGGTCACCTTCCTCTGGTCTCTCGTCCTCCTTTTCTGACTCGGTTTCCACCTTTTCAGAGCCGTGGACGGGTGGCAGAGGGGAGGGCGGAGGGGGGGGAGGACAGGATCCGGGTATAAAATCCTCCCCGTGGGCGTTTCTTTGTGGGGAAGGCGACCGGGAGGCTGGAGCCTCGGCCCCTAAAAGCGGCCTCTCCACGCTGGGGGAAAGTCCCCTCAGGCCCTCTGTCCTGCCCCCCCCCCTGCTCGCTCCTCTGGGGGGCGGCGGGCAGGAACATGTGGCTGGTGAACGGCCCTTTCAGGCTGGACGGGTCCTCCTTCCCCGGCCCGTCCCGTCCCTCCCCCTCCTCCTTTCCGTCGCCCCGCCGGTCGGCGCTCTCCTTCCCGTCCGGGTCCACCCGGCAGCGGACCACGGTGATGGTGGGGGGGGCCGCCGCCACCAGGTCCGTCACCGATTTGGACTCCATGGTGTCCGGCTCCATCTCCATCTCCTGTTTCCTGGAGGGGGATTTCAGGTCCGGCCCCGGGGGGTGGGCTTTGGAGGGGATGGGTTTGGCCTCCAGCTGGGCCGGCTCCCCCTCGGCGTGCGTGAGCGAGGACACGGTGGGACTCGGGTTCTGGCTCTGCTCGGAGGGCTCCGGGTCCGAGGCCAGCATCTGTCCGTGGTTCACCCCGGCCGAGACGTGTCCGAGGAGCCGGTCGGAGGTCGGGTTGTGCTTGGATTCCGGATCCGGGTCCGGGTCCGGATACGTCACCCGGGAGGTGAAGTCGGTCTCCATGAAGGAGCGGCGCTTCCGGGACCTTTTCCGGAGGTGCAGCAGCGTTTCCCGGCCGCCCCCCTCCTCCTCCGGCGCCGGCCTCCGGTCAGCGGCCGGCTCACCGTCCTCCACCGACACGCTGATGTCGTTGAGGCTCAGCGTGCCGAGGAGGCCCAGCCTCATCCGGGTGCGAGCATCTGCAAAACCGCACAGAAAAACACTATCAGCCTGGCCGGTTTGGGTTTCTGAGAGAATGCAACCACACACAAAAGCAAATGCCAAAAACGAGTTACAGCGTTCGCCTGTTTCTCCTCCTTATATCTGTAGATTGACGGCTAAATGAGAAGCAGCAAGAAGATTATCACCGGCACTCTCCTTGAGATTTGGGTCTGAAAGTTGAATGTTTCTGTTTTTTAAATAATCTAGTATTATCTGCGTCACACATATATGCATTTTTCCATGGATACTTTGATGAGATCTTTTCAAAACTGGCCAAGTTTGGCTCTTAAGGCGATGTTAAGAAGTTTTTAAAAAGTCTAAACTGCCAGTTCCAACATAAAACTAACAATTTGAAATGAAAATATTCAAAGGATTTATTCCTAAAATATTTAATAGACCAGAAGTATTTAATGAAATTGTCTGGAATCCAATACTTTGGACAAAAAGGGCGTTGAATATGAATAAACAACAGAGATATAAAGCCCTCTTAGAGAAGAATCCCAATAAACTCAAACTTTAATGTAATAATTAAGTATTAGTTATTTAATAAGCATTCTTTAGCCTTTCCCTTATTATGGAAAGTCTAATCTTTTTTTAAATTTTTGCTTTAAACCTGCCGTTTCTGTCATATGATGAAAAAAATTACTAATTTGGATGAGTTAAACAGATTAAAATTGGCTTGAGGTGCTTCAGATCTCTAAAGCTCTACCCCCTCATCTTTAATTTATTGTGCCATTCAAACTGGAGAGGTAACAACACTTATCCATGTGTGTGTGTGTGTGAATGATCTATATAATTCATTGCTTCTATGAAACATGAATGAATCAGATCATAAAGATGTTTCATGCTTATCCACAGAGCTGAGCGGCTATCATGTTTCACGATGGGTCTTAACACAGGTCCATATAAAATAACTGCTCTTGTGATCAATGAGATCAATGAATGTGTGTTTTGTGTGTGTTTAGGCAGCATCGGCCTTTAGCGAGTCAGTCTCACAATTTATATTTTGGATTTTTAAATTACTTTGAGGCTTTCTTGAAATAAAAGATAAAAAACACCCCAAAAAACCTTAGTGGGACAAATGGTGTCATGATCTGAGCATGTGACGTCAGCCAGTAAAATAATGAATTTCTCTTTAGAAAAACAAGAAAATACACCCTACGGAATAAAAGGAAAAGTTACATAACATTTTACATTAAAACTAAAGCTGTCCACTAATTTTAAAGCACAGCTAATGTATTTTTCATGTTTTGTGGAGAAAAACATTCACTTTTTACGAGCCTGCTTCAGCTTTTTATGCAGCTGAGGCTTTGGCCACCAGGTGGCAGCAAAGGTAGAATTTACTTTTTCTAAATGATAAACAAAGCAGAAGCCTCTGAGTGAACTCTGGAGTCACCTCTGGGCACGGCGCCCGACGTGGGGTCCTCAGGTGAGGTGAAACGGTCCCTGGCGTCGAAGAACTCCTCATCCGAGCTGCTGTCCCCAAAGCCGGGGGGCGGGTGGAGGATGGGGACGGGCTCCGGGTCCTCCTGGTTCTCCTGGTTCTCTTGGTTCTCCTGGTTCTCCTGGTTCTCCCGGGCCTCCTGGGCCCCCTCCTCCCAGCCCCCCCGCAGCTCCAGGTGCTGGGGGCGGGGCAGGCTGCGGGCGCTGTCGGGGGTGATGTTGGAGCAGAGGCTGTAGTAGCAGCGCGCGTCGCTCTGGCTGAAGCTGAACACGAAGTCCGAGTGGGAGGAGGGCGATGATGGCGAGGCGGAGGCCCCGCCCCCTTCGCCCGCCGCTCTCCGCACGCCGCCGCCACTCTCCCTGCTGTCCACCTCCTCCTCCTCGTCGTCCTCCTCCTCGCTGGCCTCGGGCGGGCTGGGCAGCAGGTCCACCAGCAGGGAGAGCTCGGCGAAGCACAGGGAGCTGTCGTCCGGGCCGAGCGGCGAGGGGGCGGAGCCTAAGCCGGGCGCCAGGAGGCGGGGGTCCGCCCCGTCGCCCGACCTCCTGCAGCCTCCTCTTCCTCCCGCCCTGCCCACGGCCGGGAGCTGGATGAGGGGGTGCGAGTGGGCGGGGGGAGGGAGCAGGAAGTGAGGATGGGCAGAACGGTCCGAGGGGGGGTGCAGCTGGAGGGGGAGGGGGGGGCAGGAGTTCGTCTGTGAGGAGGGGCGGGCGGAGGAAGAGGAGCAGGAGACCAGGTCGTCTTCCTCCAGGGCGTCCAGGGAGTCGCTGGAGGGGCTGGTGAGGACGCGGGAGTCCGTCTGACAGGAGTCGGAGGCCTCGGACACAGACACCAGCTCCTCCGCCGCCCCCCCGCCTTTTTGTCCCTGCGGGTTGCCGTCCACTATCTGGATCTGGACCGGCTCCTCCCCGTTCGTGTCCGGGGGAACCGTCTCCTTTTCGGTGCCGGCGTCCTTCTCCTCGGGGCACTTCGGGGCATCCCGGGCTTTGTCCAGCTTCTCCCGGCCGTCCCTGGTTCTCCACCGGTGCCGGTCTTTCCGTTTCCGGCCCTCCGGGTCGGAGGACGAGCGCACGCGGGGGCGGGGCCTGTCGTCCTGGGACGCCAGGCTGAGCAGCGGCTCCGCGTCCAGGTCCGAGGAGGAGTCGGAGTCGCTTCCACACCGAGACACGTAACCTGGAAGAGAGCATGTGCACGACACTTTAAGCCCTGAGCTCGAGGAAAGGAAAGAAGATAAAAACCTTAAATGGGGGGAAACATTTCCTTTAACCGCCTGTAACCTGGTCAAAGGACCTCTACTTGTTCTTGTACTTTATTTCTAGCTGCTCAGGACCATCCAAATCCAAACAACTAAAGTAAAGGAGAAGAAAAAGGCTACAGAGAGATGTTTTTAGGCAGCCAGTTCCTCGGTTCTTAAGGAGAGCCGAGGAACTGGCATGTTTGACCCAAACTAACCCAATCCATCCCAAAATGGGCCCAAACGGTTCCAAAACGGACCCAAACTGGTCCAAAACGGACCCAAACTGGTCCAAAATGGACTCAAACTAACCCAAAACTAATACAAACCGCTCCAAAAGGAGGCTAAACCGGTCCAAAACTTGTCCAAAGCATGCCCAAACTGACCCCAAAATAGGCTAAAAGATAACATGGAGGGACGATGCATTTCAAATTAAAATGTTTTTTTTGTTGATTCCCTGTTTATTTTGCATGTATTTGATATGAAAACTTCATGTTCCAACCCATTAGACTCCACGGAGCTGAGCGCACGACCCAAACTAACCCAATCCAGACCAAAAGGGACCCAAACTGGTCCAAAACGGACTTAAACTGGTCCAAAACTGACCCGAACTCATCCAAACCAACCCAGTCCAGCCCAAAATGGACCCAAACCGGTCCAAAATTGACCCAAACTGGTCTGAATGGACCCAAACTAACCCAAAACTAACACAAACCGGTCCAAAAGGGGGCTAAACTGGTCCAAAACTGGTCCAAAGCTTCCCCAAACTGACCCACATCAGCCCAAAATAAGCCAAAAGATAATGTGGCCGGAGGATGAATTTCAAATGAAAATTTTTTTTTTGTTGAATCCCTGTTTATTTTCGATGTATTTGATATAAAAACGGGCTAACAGCTTTGGATTTCCCCACGCCCGGACAATAAAGTGTTCACCCCCCATTTCAAACCCTGCGTTAAACATCAAAGAACTTGGTGTCTGCTGGGAGCCTTCCTGCCTCTGTACCTTCCTCTGCAGAGACTCGGTGCCTCTTGTCGTCCATCCAGGGAAAGATGTTGAGGCTGGGGTCCACAAACACGCGGCAGTAGCCCGATATCAGGCAGGACAGGTCTTTGGCCGCCGCTGCCTCCAAAAGCAACGTGATGGGCTTCGGGCAAAGAGGGGACACAGATGCTGTCAGACTGGGAGCCAAAAAGGCTCTTAGCTTGCTCTTTTTCGGCTCTTTGTGCTTTTTTTGGGCACACCTGGGGTCTCCCCCCCGTCTCACCTTGATGTCCTGCAGGTAGATCTTGACCAGGCTGACTTTCTCGGACTCGGGCAGCAGCTCGATGCGGGTGATGCTGGAGAACTCGGTGAGGGTGGTCAGTATGCTCAGCTTGTGGTTGACCACCTGACTGACCCCGTAGCGGGCTCCCACCAGCAGGGTCACCATGGACTCCCGGTCCTGGAGCTGCGGACCACAAGAAGAGACGCAGATATTTGAAGAGATCTTTCAAAAAGCTGTTAAAAACCGCTTTAAAAATGTCATTTAAGTCTTAATAAACGCTTCTTTTCCAGTCAGAATCAGCTTAAACTTCATTTCCCTGCTCTGGTAGCAGCTTCCTTTCTCCCTCTGCTGGTTTTTCTCTCCTCTCTGACAGTTTCTGGGGTTATTTAGGTATTTGGTGTACGTCTGCAGGCCTCAGAATCGGTTTCTCAGCCGCTCGGCTTCCCTCTCAGCCTCCTTCCATCAGTCCTTCTGGAGACCTTCTCTGATCTAGAGGCCTTCAGCAGAGCTCTTCTTTCTGTCTGCTGCTCAGATGACTTTGTTTGCTGCCTCTTTCCTGGCTCGTTTTGGAAAAACGGCTCTCTTCTTTGTCTCAGAGAGTATCAGGAGGAGATTTAACTCATACTCTGACATTTAAAGAAGCTCTAAGTGTTTCATCATTTTCAACTCATCAGGATTTCAAAGCAAATTCCACCTTTCCCCCCCAAATTTCAGCCAAAAAAAGGAGAAACTAACAATAATAATACATTTTCTACTCAGGAGTATCAGGAAGTAAATAGATTTTGGAATCTTAATTAGATATAACCTTGTTCTTTCTTTTTTTATAAAGTAAAAAAACAAACAGTATATATGAAAAGGTATTGGTAGATATAGTTTGGGCTAAAGAGCTTCTACGTCCTGCTGTAATAACCCTCTTGTTCCCTTGGTGTTTCCATACAGATGGAAGCAGGTTTCACTGACTGGTTCGGATGTTTTTTGTCTTTATTTTAAGTCTTTACAAATGATGTAATGCCTCCCCGTTAAAAGTGTCTTTAGAAGAAACCGTTTTCTATATGTGTGTTCCCGGTTTCCAGTCTGCTTAGCTTTAGCTAGGGGTAACAGGTGCTAACAGGTAAGCAGGTGGAAGTCTTACCATCATGGTGGCACCAAAGGATTTCCCTCCGAAGCACTTGAGCTCGCTCAGCTCCTCCAGGTAGTGGATCCGGGCCTGGTCCACGGACATGTTCTTCAGCTTGGGGTCCTGCTGCGACTGGCTCTTCTTCATGTGGTAGCCGATGGCCTTCCTCAGGTCCTTCTCCCGCATGTTCCTCAGCAGGGTGGACGACACAAAGTTCTCTATTCCCCAGGTCTTCCTGCAGAAAGCACAGGGGTTTGGGAGTGAGTGTCGGCCTGGGGACGGACGGCTGAGCTAAGGAGGGACTGTCTGAGCTCTGAGTTTTAACCCTCTAATACTAAATGTGTTATATTTGATAGATACGGTTTCTGAAGTCTTTTGGATCTGAGACTTTTTGCATCATTCAGTGGTAAAAGCTTTGCTCAAATCCCTGTTTTACACATTCAGATATACCTGATAACAGCCAGTAGAAGACTACACCAACATATATTTTTTTACTTATTGCACGCTAATTTGATCAAATAATTTTGTTGAGGGGCCAAAGAAAGACTTCAGACTAAAAAAATCCAACATTCTTCCTATTTTTCTTGGATCAGGCTTAAAAGGGTTAAGGAATCTGCCGGCTATGGAGCATCTCTCTCTGCCTTTACTCTCCTCCTTCAGCATCTCCAACTCAGGTTTACTTCACGTTTCTAAACTCCTTCTACGCTCAGATTGCTTGGGATCTTAATGGTCATTGCAGAGGTTTCTGACTCCACTGAAGCTCGATGCTCTTCACTAAAGAGTCACTTTGGATAAGAGCTTCTGCTTAATGAGGAAATGTAATGTAATGCAACCTTAAATTGGTAATGACTGTTTTATTGGAGACCATTCACTTAATTCTACCTATTCTAACATTGCATTTGTGAAGTTTATGTGTAATAAAAACAGGTATATATAACTACCTGTGGTCAAGTCACAGCTAGTATTCTTAATTAAAGACAGAAGAGATAAATATTGAATATGGATTGAACTACTGGTAGGTAGTGCTTTGGTTCAGGCTCCGACTCCAGCAGAAAAAAAGCAGAAATAAGTGGAAATAAGCAGAAAATTACTGGACCTTCTTTGTGCTTGTGCTACGGTTAGGGTCAGGGTCAGGGTTAGGGTTAGGGTATTTGTGAGGTCCATGTATACTAAAAACAGGTATTTATAACTATCTGTGGTCAAGTCATGGATAGTTTTCTTAATTAAAGACAGAAGAGCTAAATATTGAATATGGATTTAACTACTGGTAGGTAGTGCTTTGGTTTAGGCTCCGACTCCAGCAGAAATAAGCAGAAATAAGCAGAAATAAGCGGAAATAAACAGAAAAAAAAGCAGAAATAAGCGGATATAAGCGGAAATTAGCAGAAATAAGCGGAAATAAGCGGAAATAAACAGAAAAAATAGTAGAAATAAGCAGAAATAAGCAGAAATAAGCAGAAATAAGCAGAAATAAGCGGAAATAAGTGGAAATAAACAGAAATAAGCGGAAATAAGCAGAAATAAGTGGAAATAAGTGAAAATAAACAGAAAAAAAGCAGAAATAAGCGGAAATAAGCAGAAATAAGCATGAGTCCCTCACGTGATGGTCTTCAGGTTGGCTTTGGGGGACTGTCCACAGCTGACCAGCCGCTCCTGGATGTGCAGCGCGGCCAGCCGCAGGGCCGTGTTGCACCTCATCTCCACGGCGAAGCGCTCCTGCAGCACGTCGTTCACGCCCTGACGCGCACGTTTGGGTCAGTTTGACAGCACAGAACCAACAAACCGGACCGAATAGGACTAAAGACACCACAGGGAAGCCATTTCATCACATCTGACACGTTTCAAACCCAGCTGGTTTGTGAACTAACTGTTATTTAAAGCATTTAAGTTTGTTTTCAGCTTGACTGAGAAAATCCTAATAGAGAGATTTAAGGAAAACTGCACATTTCTACACAATTTGGGGGTTTATACACCCTATTTAGACTCAGCTGAAGCTAACTGACTCAGTGCTTTTCTGCTGATGTGAGAGTTTGGATCATTTACGGGCTGTTTGCCATGATTGGATGTTTCCATGTAGATCGGTGCAGATTTATTAGAAGAATCAAATACGAAGCAGACAGAGGCCACAGAAAAGAGCTGAGGCTCAGCATTGTGTAGGAAAAAAACAGGAACCAGAGGAATTCTGACTATTTTTTAAATCTGTAGCCATCTTTAAGAGTTCGGAAATGCCGGATTATGTAAGAAACGTGTCAAAATGTTCCGCGTTTGAGCTGCTTTTTAGCCCCTCTCACCTAAAGGTGGGCAGCTCTGGGGCCCAAACACCTAAAACCTAAACCCCTCCTCCTCCAGTGGACCCTAACTCATATCTATAACGATTATTTTTGCACGTTAGACCAAACCGACTGTTCATTTTCTTTGGGCGTGTGTTTCAGAAACATTAGCAAAAGTTTCAACTGAGAGAAAAAGGGGGAAATTGTGATTATTAATGACTAAAAAAAAAACGGCAGGCGCACTGGCCCACCTGCAGGTAGAGGTACTCAAAGGTCACGGGGTCATCCTTCAGCAGCCTCTGGAGGTCTTTGGGCATGAAGCAAACCCGGAACAGACACCTGTAGTCATGGGCCTCCTTCTTCTGCACCACCTGGGGGCGGAGACACGCGGTGGGAAGCCTGAAGGAAGCTCAGCCCACGGGGGTTAGGGTTAGGGTTAGGGTTAGGGTCAGGTTTAGGGTTAGGGTCAAGGTTAGGGTTAGGGTAAGGGTTAGGGTTAGGGTCAAGGTTAGGGTTAGGGTCAGGGTTAGGGTTAGGGTAAGCTTTAGGGTTAGGGTCAGGGTTAGCTTAAGGGTAGAGTTAGAGTTAGGGTCAGGGTCAGGTTTAGGGTTAGGGTCAGGGTCAGGGTTAGGGTTAGGGTCAGGGTTAGGTATAGGGTTAGGATCAGGGTTAGTGTCAGGTTTAGGATTAGGGTCAGGGTTAGGGTTAGGGTCAGGGTTAGGGTTAGGTTTAGGTTTAGATTTAGGGTTCGGTTTAAAATTAGGGT